CTCAGGCAATCCACTCACCTCAGCCTCCCAAAGGCGCGGGATTACAGGCTGAGCCACGGAGCCCGGCTCCACTTCCTCCTTTTTAAAACACTTTATTTGGTCGGGCGTGGTGGCTCACATCTGTAATCCCAGCACTTTGGGAGGTTGAGGCGAGAGGATTGTATGAGCCCAGGTGTTGGATACCAGCCTGGGCAACATGGCGAGACCTTGTTTCTACAATAAATCAAAAATCAGCCTGGCATGGTGTCACATGCCTGTGGTTCCAGCTACTTGGAAGGCTGAGGCTGAAGGATCACCTGAGCCCAGCAGGTCAAGGCTACGGTGGCCAGGAGTGTGCCACTGCACTCCATCCTGGGCAACAGAGTGAGACTCCGACTCACCGTGCCCGCCTAAGCCTCAAGATTTTAAATGTTATGTGAATGCTGGTGGCTGTCACATTTTCTCTCCAACATGTCCCCAAACAAACTCCTTATTTCTCCAATTCAACTTCTGCAAACTTTCCTACAACTGTAAATGGAAACCTCCTTAACCCAGTTGTCAAGCCAAAAACCTGGGAGTCATCTTTGATGCCTCACTTTCTTTCATACTACAAAGCTAATCCCTCAGCAAATCCAGTTATCTCTGCCTTTCAAGCAAAACCAGAATCAAGTCATTTCTCACCACCTCCACTGCTATTATGCAGAGCCAAGCCACCACTGTTTCTCACGTGGTTAATTGCAAGAGCCTCTTGACTAGTATTTGTGTATCCACTCTTGCCTTCCTTAAATCGTCTTAATTTGTCCTTAAAGTAATCTTTTAGCCAGGCTCGGTGACTCAGCCTGTAATCCCAGCGCTTTGGGAGGCCGAGCTGAGTGGATTGCCTGAGCCCGCGGGTTCGAGATCAGCCTGGGTAACTTGGCAAGACCTCGTCTCTACAATAAAAATTAAAAATTAGCCGGGCTTGGTAGCACACACCTGTGGTTTCGGCTACTTGGAAGGCTAAGGCAAAAGGATCACCAAAGCCCAGCAGGTCGACGCTGGGGAGGCTGTGAGCGTGCTACTGCACTATAGCCTGGGCGACAGAGTGAGACTCCAACTCCAATATATATATATATGTTAAACATAGAATTACCATATGATTCAGCAAGTCCACTTCTGGGTATATATCCCAAAATTCCAAAATTGAAAGGACTCAGCCAGGTGTAGTGGCTCATGCCTATAATCCCAGCACTTTGGGATGTTGAGGTAGGAGCATTGCTTGAGCCTAGGTGTTCAAGAATAGTCTGGATAACATAATGAGACCTCGACTCTACAAAAAAATAAACAATAAATTAGCTAGGCATGGCGGTGCATGCTTGTAGTCCCAACTACTTGGGAGACTGTGGCAGAAGGATCGCCTGAGCCCAGGAAGTCAAGGATGCAGTGAGTCATGATCATGCCACTGCACTCCAACCTGAGCAACAGAGTGAGACCCTGACTCAAAAAAAAAGCGAAAAAATCAATCAGATATTTGTACACCCATGATCTTCATAGCAGCATCATTTGCAAAAGTCAAAAGATGGAAGCAACCCAGGTGTCACCAACAGACACAATGTGATATATATTTACAAAGGAATAGTATTCAGCCTTAAAAAGGAAGGAAACTAACTGGGCTCGGTGGCTCAGCCTGTAATCCCGTGCCCTGGGAGGCTGAGGTGAGTGGATTGCCTGAACCTGTGGGTTCGAGACCCACCTGGGCAACT